TGTTATTTTTAATCTCAGTGAAATGATTTGATAATTTTAGAAGACATTTCACATCTAAATCAACTAAGTTACAGGGTTCTTTCTAATCAATGTTTACATACAGTGTTTACATGCATAATATGTTTACATACTTGTTTTTATCAACAGGTAATCTAATAGTTTGGCATGTACCGTGTTGTCATTGTTAAGGAAGATTAAAATACAAGGATCTTTTGTAAGATCTCACAGAAAACTTGTGACCAAGTGAAGAAGAAAATCTGAGTTTCCTATGAGACAATCCTGGTACTTACAGCCAAAGATTCTAAATTTGGAACAGAAGCTAAAAAGAGGATTGAGATCTCAATTGATATTCCTTTGCCCAGTATTAAATAGGAAGGAAGTCCAGGTTCCTCTGGGTGCAGACTGAAGGGGCTTTTTTTTTTTTTATTACTGAAACAGAATTGTACTAGACTGCAGTTTCTTTCCTGGAAAATTATTTTCAACAGGGTGAAAGAGTTCTGCCAATTAAAGAAAGTCTTTTCTTATTTCCAAGTTAGTGTTATAGCTCCTATTTTTTCTTCACCAAACAAGTGAAAATATTCCATAGCCAGTTCTTATTGTACATCTCCTCAGGCATATGACTGCCTCTTTCAACTAGAGAACCTGTAAAATCTTTCAAAGGTATGTGTAACTTACAAGCTGAAATAAAAAGGAAGAAAGAAATCTCCACACCTTTCAACACAAAGGTTTATAAATATCAGCTTCTCCTGATAAAAGAAATGAAGCCTTGGAATTGAATGAGGCATTGAAACTGAATGATGGTTTGCTTCTCTCTCTCTTTCTCTCTCTCTCTCTCTCCTTTTTGTTATTTTTTAGTTCTTTTTCACATTTGAAGGAACCATTTAGTGATGAGACTAGCTAGATGAACGAGAATGGATAAAATAAAATGTTTAAAAGGCCTTTTGCCTTTAGTGGTAAAGTAAGAGACGAAGAGATCAACTTTGTGATCTTAGCAATAGTTTTTAATTCTATGTTCTGCATTAGAAAAAGAATAGGTTTCATGTTTGTGAGATAAATTTACAAATTCATCTGGTGCTGTTTTCCTTTGAAGCTTAAGTATTTTCATATATTGGTGTAATCTGGAGCTATGGTCTAATCATAATTCAGTTTTTGTCTTTAGTAAAAGCATGTGCTTCTAATTTGCAATCAATTTCTGTGCTCAACACATGGAAATAATGAATGTCCTCGTCTACAGCTGTAGACAAAGGGAGAAATGAGTGTGCAGCATTTAGCAGGATGGACTATTCAGATACTTCATTTACCTAGATATTAGAACTTGGGCATCCAAATCATGTTAATGTCATGCTATAATCATTGGGTGAATAACAATTTTCTATTAACATTTTCCCTCCCCTCATTTTAATGTACAACTTGAGTAATAGCATAACATAAATTAGAATTTGATGGCACCACCTCGTGTTGTTGAATCTACCATAGTATAAAGCATATAATTTTTACCTCATTGTTTGTTTTTGATTTTTAATCAAATGTTGTCCAGTTTCCAAAAGCTGATATTTGTGGACATGTTCATATCTATGTGTATGTCATAGATACTATTATTCTTCCCTAATGACATGCTTACCTTTTTATGAACAAAAGATGGAAATACTTAATTTGCAACAGTAAATGTTTAGTTTAAAATCCCTCCCTTTCCAAGAAGTCTCCTGCACAATTTTCAGGTGTAGCTGTAAAACTAATTTTCCAATGTGTAGTGATTTTGTTGAAGATTTTCTGTTTTAAAACACCAAATTTGAGAAGAACATATGACACTGCATTATAAAGAAATTATCATTATAAAGAAATTATCTTATTGTTGCACTTTCCTATATTGGATAAAAAGAGACTTGCTCAAGTTCTGTCACAGCTTGCTTATTTATTTATTTATTTATTTTATTTTCATAGTGGCTGAGATCTTCAAACGTGATCAGAGTCTTGTTCTGCTAAGCAGTATGGAAATAAAGAATACAATGATAGGTCTTCCTTCAAAAAGCTTTTAGCCAAGGATGTCAGGAGAAAAAATAAGTGACATAGGAAACAGATGAAAAGAACACAGTGTAATAGTGACAATTCCATACCAGAAATCAGTACCAATAAAAAAAATTGCAATTCTGGGACAAGATAATCTGTTTTCTTACCTACAGTTGTGAATGTCTAAATGGCTACTGAAGAGATGAAAGACAAAGATGGTACTTATTGATTGTTTTATCTATCATTAATGAAATCACTGTTAGTTTGGAACATGGAACCTGCTTAATAGCAACACAGAATGATAGCAGTGAAAAACAGAAATGCTCCAAGATGCTGCTGCAAAGCACTGAAACTTCACATAAACTTTATTAGGACGATTGCATCCAGCTCCAGCATCCAGAACTGAAATTGCTATACTTGCAGTTTTAAGATTTCCTCTACTCACTATAATGATAATAACAAAATATTAATAACAAAATATTATGAATAAAGAATATTCTGTAGTCAAGCTATTGGTCAATAGCAAGAGTATTAAAAAATTTTCCACAGCTAGTACAATGTCATGACAATTTAGATTTTAACAAAGATGATTTAAAATGGTAATGAATATTCAAGAAGAGTTTAGCAAGAAGATTTCTTAGGCCTTTCTGGATCATTTTTCCTATTGTGATATAAATAATCTGCCTATTTTTTCCCCCTATAAAATATGTATATGTTAATTAAGCAAAAGCTTGCAGCTCACTATATATGCAATTATTTCTTTTTTTTAATAAGCAAGGTTACTGGCTGGGGCTGAATTCAATGGGAAATAATTAATAGCCATACAATCCATTTCCAACAAAAACTAGTTGAGAGAAAGGGAGCCGAGTTAGTCATAAAGGTGATGTATTGTAACATTAATCAAGAAAATGGATGCTGTAGAAAATCAAAAGGCCAGCTATTGTGAAAAGTAGGGAAAAATAGTGAATATATGAGATTAACATTTCAGACAACACTTTGGCAGTCCACTGCCTTTCCAGCAAAAATTTCCTGAAAGACTACAAAAAGTATGTGAGTGAATGGTAACCAATTTAGTGAATTAGTCAGCTCTAGAATGATACAAGACAGACTTACTGTACTACCAATGAGTGCAGGTGGATCCCTTTTGTTAATCTCATGCTTGAAGAGGGAACTTTATTAGTAACAAGTACATATTTGTTCACAAGTACTTTCAGTATATGAGATTATTTTTTTTCCCCAAAGGGCAACAAATTCTGCTAGTAACAGCAACTCGAGATAGTATGAGTGACATAGCAAGGTCAAGAAGTATGAATCAAATAGAAGTTTGATGTGTGATCATATACTCACAGTCACTGATTTGTAGCCACTGCTTAGGAAGTGTTTATGTGATAAGAGGAATGCTGTAGGAAAATCTTATTCCTCTTGTTTTTCTCTTTAAGATTGCTTACCTTTGCTGGGATATCTTATTATATTTGAACACAATAGGGGGTAGATATGATATCTGCAACAATGATGATTATAGGCAACAGTTCAACATAAAAAATGTCAAATCCTGGTTATGTCAGCTAATTCTATGTTTCTCAGTCATTGCAATTTCCAAGTACTGTTTTTGTTTGTTTGTTTGTTTTGTTTTGTTTAGATAAACCCCGCAAAAATCAATTTCAGCACATCTTCAAGGATTGTCTCTTCTGTTCTCTGAGTTAGACTTTCCATTCCCTGCCTGCCTATTCTGATTCCTTCTCTCAGCTCCTGTCTCTAAATCTGCATTTATTTTGGTGCTTTCCACACGCTTTTCTTCAGCCCACTGTGTTGTACTTCCTTGGACTAATCTTCTACTCACTACCTCTTGTCCTTTCACAACAAACCCAATTTCACTGCCAAGATACTTGTCTCTATGCTCTCCTTGGCATACCTCCTCCAAGCAGTTTCTACCTCATGCATTCTCTGTCAGGCATGACTTCTGAAGATGACAGTAATACTCCAAATGGCAACACCAGCCAGTGAGGAAATCTACTCCCCTTCACTAGAGACAATTGGTGAAAACCCTTTATTGTTCTTTATCATTAACTTTCTGTACACAAAATGCTTGAAATGGATTATTAGCAGTTCTTTCCTAGTTATTTATCTGCTAGGGTTTGGCTATTTATTTACTTATTTACTGCAAGGACAACACTTATTTACTGGCACCAAGTAATTCTACCTAACCTTTAGGGATTTTTGTTTGCTATCATTTCAGAGGGGAAGAAAGAGAGACAAGTTTAAAAATGCATATGTTGTCCTTACTGTGCTGTAACAAGATTGGCATGGTACCAGTGATGTTTGAATTTCTCTCTTAGGAAGACTAAGATAGTTCAACCAGCTGCACAGAAATTGCATTGAAAATGGATACTTTGCAAATTCACTCCGTAAATGAAAGTTTAAATTACAAAAAGCCGTCTGACCAGTTATCTCTTAGTAAAGTGCTTTACAATTTGCATATAAACTTCATTTCTTTTTCTAATTACACAGAGTAAAATGCATTCATTTTGCTTTTGATTACAAGCTGGTCTTGCCAAACACCTGTGACTGCCACAAATTCTAATTTGTTATTTATTTACTTCAAAGCAATCTTATTATCTAAATGATTCAAAGCATCAAAGACCTTAATTATTGATAGTCAATTCGATAGAGTTACAGTTACATATCCTTGGGCTGAAGTCACTTTTCTGCTTTCTTTTCCTCAAGTACACACTTGGCTGAGCAAGGCGACATATGATTCTGCTATTAAGTGTATTGGAAATCACATTCTTGCTTAATTGCAGCTAGATTTAGGCAATATCAAAAGAGCCAAGATTGACAGCTACAATGTGTTGGCTAATGGAACTTAAAATATAAAATAAAATAAAATAAAATAAAATAAAATAAAATAAAATAAAATAAAATAAAATAAAATAAAATAAAATAAAATAAAATAAAATAAAATAATAAATAAAATAAAATACCTTCCTTTCTACTTCAGTAGTCAAAACACTTGTTGCATGTGTAGCACAGTTATTCTGTAGGTTTGATACTTGTCTCCACAACACAAATGTTACACGAGTACCTTTCATTTATTCCAGGCAGCAATACTCCACATTTACACTGCTGCAATAAATGTGGACATGTGCACACATCCTGTGTGCATGTTGAAACCTTTATGCTTTCTGACAGCTTAATTAGAACATTATATGTGTATAAATGCCCTTACATGTGTCAGAAGTGAAAGGTTGAAGAAGGTCCTCGGTACAAATGAGACATAATATCTGTTAGGCATGTTTTAGTGTGCAGATGTGCATACTCATACAGAATGCCTGAACATGAATATCACAATGCAAACCACTGCACAAAGGCACAAAACCACTGCAAAAAGCTGCCTCTATGTGCAAATTGTATCTTTGTCTTGGACAATCAAAGCTACCATACTGTCATATTTCCTTGAAGGTATGTTGTATCACACTCAGTTCTAAAAGCTGAGATCACCCAGAGCTTCATTCAGGTATTTAGTCATAGTATTCTCCATTAGCCTCCATAACTTTCTGCCTCACCTTTAACATTTACGATCTGCAGATATAAGAAGAGTCATACTGAGTCTGTGGCTTTCATTAAAGTGATCTTGGAGCTTACAGTATGCATAGATCTTAGCCTAGCTTACTTCTCTGCATGCTTTTATTTTACTTTTTGACAAATAGACAAAAATATAATTACATTTCAAAAATGTTTTTTCAGGGATGGTAGATTTTTCCAGTTGCACTCTTCTAAATATATCCATAGGTTATCTTGTGATCTGACTTCTGATATCTTGTGATACTCCTAAAGTAAATAAGTAGTCAATATCTTAAATTGAATATTTAATACTGTTTGGATAGTTACAATTAATTTGTTTTCATTTTGTTTCCTAAAAAAAAAAACAAAAAACAAAAAACAAAACTGTACTGTAATGCACTTCATTGTTCCACTAACTCTTGACCTCCTAAGCAGCACCATTTCTGAACAGTAACAGTTCAATGTTGTTGATGTCTTATAATGGCAAAGAGAATACGACAACCATAATCATATGATGACCCCAGAGAAGATATAGATCCCCTTATTACATCATGAATTTTAAGACAAAGATATCTCATAACCAATGGAACATAGCAGCATACAAATTTTGAGGTCAAACTACAAAATATAGAACAATGTTATGCCTGCTATTTTTAGGGCTTAATCAGAGGCAATATATGAAATAGTGGAGAGAATACTTCAATATTCAGGCTAAAAAAGATTGATCAGAGACAAATACAGAACAGGATAATGGACAAATTCCTTTAAGATCCTGAATGTAAATTTTAACGCAGCCACCAAAAAATTATTTTGCAATTGTATTTTTTTTTTTTTTAAGTTTGTCATTATGAAAAAAAAAAATCTAATTTATCTTTTACAAAGTAATCTCTTCAACATTTTGAAATAACTACAAATCTGCAAGCTTGATCTGAGGAAAGTAAAATGTACAGGTCAGGTTTTCCTGCTGAAGTTAACATGAACAATCAAACAGCATGGATAATGAAAAGCCTATTAGATTCTTAAATGATTTTCAACTTAACAACCTAATGTGTTATTGTTAACTAAATGAAATAAAATTATTTAACTCCAGTGCTTTCCACTTCTTTAAATCACTAGTTAATTGAATTTTCTAGGAAATTGGTAAAAGCATAGTTTCAGTCTCTCCCTTTCTCATTATCTTATCTATGGCTTTTCAAATACTGTAGCAGTACTGTTTTGACTAAGAAACAGTATACACCCAATGCAAAGCTCCCTGAAGTCAGAGTAAAGATTTCCACTAACTTTAGTAGAATTTGGATCAAGCCCTTAATAAACTGCATTAAATGTCTACCCTTATAACTGAGTACCCAAGCAAGAGAAATTACTGGATTGGCATTTCAGGATTTCCATCTAATCTGAAAATAGTTTTCTTTACTGACCTCAATAGTGTATCCTGGCCTACATCAAAAGAGGAGTGGGCAGCAGGTCGAGGGAAGTGATTGCCCCCCTCTGCTCTGCCCTTGTGAGGCCCCACTTGAGTACTACATCCAGGTCCGGGGCCCCAGCACACAAAGGATGTTGGTCTGTTGGAGTGGGTTCAGAGAAGGGTCACAAAGGTGATCAAGGGCACTTCTCCTACAAAGAAAGGCTGAGGGAGCTGGAGCTGTTCAGCCTACAAAAAAGAAGGCTTCAGGGTGATCAAATTGCAACCTTTCAGTACTTAAAGAGGACTTCTAACAAGGATGGAGAGTGACTCTTTACTCAATCCGATAATGACAGGACAAGGGGGCATGGTTTTAAACTAAAACAGGGGAGATTTAGATTAGGGATTAGGAGAAACTTCTTCACTCAGTGAGGCACTGGCACAGGTTGCCCAGAGAGGTTGGGGATGCCCCATCCCTGGAGGTGTTCAAGACCAGGTTAGATGAGCAACCTAATCAAGTGGGTGGCATCCCTGCCTACGGCAAGGGGGCTGGAACTAGATGAACCTTGAGTTTCCTTCCAACTGAAGCCATTATAAGGTTCCCCCAGGAATTGTAAGATGTGGTATGACTGCAAGCAGTCGAGGCACTAGAAGTGATTACCCACAGAGACCGGTTTTCTGGGGGAGCTCCTCAAGGACCGCTCAACCCACTGACCCTCTAAAGCTCTGAGTCATAAAGGAGTCATGAACTATAGTGACCAATGAGGAACATACACATTTTGATAGATTGCAAGTTGTCATAACTTTTGGTGAGCAGCATAATTTGTTTATTGCCGTGAGGCACTTTCTAATAACTATAAGCATGCTTGTTTGTACATCTCCAAAGCAAACAAAAGCAGAGCACCAGCAAAATAACCTGGCTGTTAAATGGATGCAGGCAATTGCCACTGAAAGAAATTAAACTTATTGTAGGTGTTATTTCCATGGCCCCAGGGTGGCACAAGGAAGCTTTCACTGGCAGCTTCCCTTGAACCTGGATGCAGAGCTACAAAACATACCAAGAGGTTTTTTTATGCCATTCAAACATTCCTCCTTTTAGGAGACAGGTCGCCCTAGCTTTACACAAATTCAAAGGCAAACACGCATTGGCACAGAAAAAGGTGAGGGACAAGATGTGCACAATTTCCTTAGTGTCCAGACCAATTACAATCTCACTAGAACTGATATTAATTTCAACCCAAAAGTTTTCATTAACAAAAACACTACATTATAAATCAAAATGGGCTGGTGTGGACAGAAAACAGAATGAATGGGGAATATTCTTGTACTCGCACAATATGTTGGGTTTTGAATAGAACAATAGCATACACATAGTAGCCATGATTTTGTGAAAGGGTACTTTTGGCTAGGTGGAAACAACGCTTCTGAAGCCCTGGATGCAGCTGTGAAGGTACATAAACACTGACGATGTTGTTCCTGAGACTCACACCACCACAACCTTCTCAGAAGAAATCCTCCAGCAGCATAAGCCACAGCCAAAAAGGCAAAGGCAAAACTATAGCAATAAGCCACTAGTGAAGCAACTGCCATTAAATTATCCAGAACCTCCCCGCCATGTCCAGGAAAAGCAGCACTATCGAAGGGTAGGTATTACCAGGCAGAGAGGTGCTTCAGTTTGAGAAAGTGTTTTAAACTACTGCCTTGAGGCTCCAGGAACCTTCAGGCTGGTGAAACGCACTGCTTCCTCGCCTTTACTGCCCTCTCCTGATAGCTACGAGTGGCCCTCCCCAGCCAGCAGGGCCTGGCCTACCCCAGCCTCCTGCCCAGGGCCTCCCTGCAGAGCCCCCAGCCCCTGGCCCTGCTGGGTGCCCCTCTCTGGTCCCGCATCTGTGCCCTCTGCCCAGGCTCTCTGATGCGCTCACTGGTGTCAAGAAGGCCAACAGCATCCTGGCATGCATTAAAAGAAGCATGGCCAGCAGGTCAAGGGAGGTGATCCTCCCCCTCTACTCTGCCCTGGTCAGGCCTCACCTGAAGTACTGTGTCCAGTTCTGGGCTCCCCTCTACAAAAAAGACAGGGATCTCCTCGAAGGAGTCCAGCGGAGGGCCACAAAGATGATACAGGGCCTGGAGCATCTTCCCTATGAAGAAAGGCTGAGAGACCTGGGTCTGTTCAGCCTTGAGAAAAGAACACTGAGAGGGGATCTTATTAATGTTTATAAATAGCTGAAGTGTGGGAGACAGAACGATTTGGCCAACCTCTTTTCAGTGGTTTGTAGAGACAGGACAAGGAGCAATGGCCACAAAATGGATCACAGGAAGTTCTGCACCAACATGTGAAAGAACTTCTTCACGGTGAGGGTGACAGAACACTGGGACAGGCTGGCCAGGGAGGTTGTGGAGTTTCCTTCTCTGGAGATATTCAAGGCCCATATGCACACCTACCTATGCAACTTGCTCTAGGGAACCTGCTTTGGCAGGGGAGTTGGACCCTGATCTTCTGAGGTCCCTTCCAGCCTCTGCACTTCTGTCATTCTGTGATTCCGTAACTATGAAATTCTTTTCAGGTTATTAAGTGTTATGTGGGCAGCTGGGCACATAGTAATATCAAGATGTAACTCACAGGACATGATACAATTCAAACTCAGAAATGAGGTTTTAATTTGCTGCAGAATTTAACACTATTAAACAGGAATTGAGATTAATGAAATTAAAGTACATTTGGAAAAGCTTGAAAAGCTTCTGCTTACGGAGGTGGGAAAGGATCAATTACCTTTAAGCAAATACCAGAAAGCTTTGAGAGAATGAAAGAAAACAGTGGCACAGGAGAGAGCACACAATTTCAAAATCCCTTCCTGAATAGGTAAATTCTCTTGATTAATAGAAGCTTCAGGTAAATATTTTGGACATCAATCTGCACAAATAAAGCAATACTGAAATTCTGTTAGCCTCAAAGTCTAAAAGGGGCTGTTTTTGACATTCCTGATCAAGCTGGGTCTAGAGACATTATCCTCTTTCATCTGACAGACCATTTACAAACTGAACCAGAAAATGGCTTTTGAAGGTTTGGATTTTTGTCCAAAGGACTATTTTCATGAACCTACCAATTCATACCTTTATACATCTTTTATTATTCTTAAAGAAGTTATTGAAACAGTTTTGTTCAACTATCATTATTTTATACCTCTTCATATTGCAAAAGGTGGCTCTGTAATACCTGTCTTAACTTCTGGGTTTTCTTCCTTACTTTTCCTTACGCTTTTGGTTTTGTACTGTTTGTTAGCTTCCAGTGTTTCACCACTTCATTTTTTGCTTTTCACAATCCCTAGATTTTATTTTCTTTGCACTCTCTTCATTTATTTAACACTTTCAGATTTCTTAATTGGTTAAATCTAGCTGATGATTCTATACCAAAGCAACAGAAGGCTTTCTTTGACCTACTATTTCTTTATCAAAAATGTCAAAATATCAATTTTTATTTTTTTTTCCCCATGGAAGATCATTCCATTGTTGTTTATGGCAATGGTTTTAAATGTTCTTATGGATGATGAGGTCTATTCTTCTCTGCTAGCAAAATAATAGCTTTCATTTGCTATCCTGTTAGTAAGCAATCTCCAGGCAACTTTATTTGTACATCTGTGTGGAAGCAAAGATCCAGAGGAAAATCCTGCTGTAAGTATCTAAAGTAATAGAGAAGTTACCTCAGAATACTTCTGTAGCTGGGGAGAGACAGAACTCCAGAAGGCTTCATCAAAAATCTGAAATTAGACAGAGGGATTAAGGAGAAATGTTCCAAAATGCTCGTAGATTACTTAAATTTGCAGGAATTAAAACAAGTTTTAATCTTTCCAACAGTCAACATAACAACGTCCAAAAACTGGACCAGACACTCATAATTTTTATATTGTTTCTTTTCTATCCTTTTGTCCTAAAGATAATAAAGATATATCTGAAGTACATCTTCTTTATCTTGAGCAGTCTTACTGATTTCTATGTTAACATTAAAATACCCAATACCATGCTTTGCCATGTTAATTTACTTAGCAGATCTAGATCTTCTATAGTCATATATCCTACTGCATATAAACACACTAAGAAAGTGGCAAAGGATAATTCAAGGAAGAAAAGGGGATCTCACTGAAAAATGCAAAACAAAATATCCTAAAAGATTTAAGCACTTTTCAGAAGGAAAGAGTTATTGAAGGCCACTGAAAGAAGGACGGATAAGGAGGGAGATAAAGAGATCAAGACCCACAGGCTCTGCATTCTTGAAGGGATAGAGTTTCAGTGAAGGCATGAAAAGGACTGGGAACTGGAAGCCAGGATCAATTCTCCACTGAAAATGAAAACAGTGCAGAAGTAGCTTTCTTTGTGAGAAAGAAGTTTCAGGGCCAGGAGACCCTTTTCCCCCTCCTAGGTGTTCAGCTGCCTGAGCTCAAGGCCATCTCTTTGATTTGGCACAGCTGTCTTATCTGAGCTTAGACTGTCATGAGGAAGGCAGCCATATAGAAATGGTTTACTTTTAATTTGAGACTCCAGGCCTTGGTCCTTATCTCTTTGTATTCCAAACTGGTATTCTTACCAGACTCCAGGCTTTGTTTGTATCCTTTGCAGCTATCATGTGGCTCCATTTATTTGAAGAGGGAAATTGCTGTTAATCAATTAGTCTAATTCTACCAATTCTATAACATAAATTGAACCTTTTTTTTTTTTTTTCATTCTACATATGGTGAGAGTGCTAATTACAGGAGATAAGAAGTGTGCTTATGAAAATGGAATACAATTCAGACTTGCCTCTTCTCTAACACATAACAAACCATTGCTTTTCTATTCCTGTTGAAGCAATTCCCACGTTCTCTCTGTAAAATAAACTGAAATTCTGCAGCAAAACTTGAAATATAATAGGTTTCCTTTACAGAATGCTGGTCTTTCCCTGACTAAGAGGGTTTTCATATTAATAGGTGGAGAATGCATTTCTGAAGGTATCACTATAATAGCAGGCAGGTTCAATATAGCAGAGTTCACATAAAGGGACACTACAAAGGCCCCACTTGGTTTTGTTTTAATTTATGGAGTCTGCAGTGCTTTCCAGGAAATCACCTAGGAAACGATTTTTTTCCCTAAGATTTCACAAATTAAAAATACCTGAATAATATTTCATGATTACATTTTATAATTAAAATATATATCTTTTTTTCAAATAGTACAGTGAGCAGCATCACAGAAATCAGATCAGTCAACAGATGAACAGCTGCTCTCTATTTTCAGCCCTTCTCTCTGGGTAGCACTAGAGGCAGGAAAACCTGACTGAGTCCCAACTTAAATATAAAATTAACTCCCCTCAGTAACTTTGACAGGAACACCAAATGGAGTACACTTTCCATATGAAAACTCTAGAGATACATCATGAAAATTTTTTAAATGAAAAATAGAAATTTAAAAAATAAAAATAAAACAATACATCCTGATTGTTAGGGTTCTGTGACTTGCATGCCTTACAGTGACATTGTTCATGTGGAAACATATGGATTCATCCTGTAGAGAACATAAATACCACAGCCTGAGCCCATGGAACTTTGTTCAGAATCTACAGACCCTGTTATGAAATCATGATTTCAATTCCTTTCTGCAGTCTTTCAAGTCATGGAGATCTTGCATGGATAGGCTCCTGGATTCTTCTAAATGAAGTCTCCCAGGTGAGAACAGCACATACAGAGGTAGCCAGGAGAGGAGTTTCACAGGAAATATTTTCCATGACACCAAAGCATTTCAAAATATCAAAATATTCCCATCTCAAAATAGGATGAACACTAACAAATGAAAATGTTCAAGACTGAAAATATATATTTTAAGATGCTTTGGGACCATGTAAGAAAATTATTTCAACCATCCTAAAATGCTTCTTTTAATTACAAAAGTTTTAAAAGCTGTTAAATTTTTCTTCATTTTCTTAAGAAAAATATTTTTAATCTAGAAAACTGTTTAAAAAAATAAATCCAAATGAGACACTGAAATTAATTTTGAAGCACTTTTCAAAGCAGCTGCTGGGCTATAATTTCACTGATACCAGTCTTTTGCCCCAAGAAGTCTTGCTTCAATAAATCAACACTTTTAGTGGGAAAAGTGTCATTTCCCAAATCTGACCAGTGATATTTCCTATTACTGAATTCTGAAATATGCTTAGCTGCTATGTAATTTACTTTTTTATGTCCTGTTCTTAATATATTTGACTTGCCTTCAGTCCTAATAATTGATCTTTGTGTAGAAATAGTTCCCTTTTCCTTTAATTCTTTCTCTCAGATATATCCATCATGTTTTCTTGCATGCTAATTTTACACTGAAAAAGGCATCCGTATATACAAAGACGTGAATTCCCTAGCACTTCCTAAAAGGAAACTTTCTTCCTCTTTCTTTCCCATTATGCAGCAAGTATAAAAATTCAGAGCTCCAGTTGCTCTTTCCCCCGAGGATTTTCATCCTATATCATTTAACTTTTCCTGACATCTTTCTTCCCTCACTTTTATATTACAATTTTCCCCTAAGCAATGCAAACCTGTATTTGCATCTTTGACAGCAAAGGGGAGACTGATGGATGGAAGCAATGCTTTCTTTGAATAATGCAAGATGTTGTGACACTGACAGTAATAAGGAGTCCTACATAATAGGTCCTCCTTCATACAATTTAAAAATGTGCAGCCTATTGTCTCAGCCACCAGCAAACCATCTCATAACTAGTGCCTCTGTAGTAAGGCTGAGTTTCATCCACCTCAATGACAGCTGACAACAGGAGACAAATCTCTTTTAAAAATACTTCCCAACCACTTTTTGCTGTAATTAAACAACCAGAAAACAACACACACATACAAGAAAATGGTTCTCTGTTTTATGACATTTCAGAGCAAGCAATATGGCTGCCCTGGGGGAAGTGACTACCAATTAGAGTAGTCAGTGTCACCTAATCACAGTCAAGACTCTGTTCCCTTTTGTATTTTATTTTTTTCCCCAGCAGTGCCCACATATATTAACAAACAGGAATGAAAAGGTGATAGAATTGTAGAGCCTTACAGGCTTAAATCGTCCACAGGCATAAAAATTCCAGAACACTATCGTGCTGACACCACTGATACCACCAATCTAGTGCTGACACAGGTTCCTATTCTCAGGCTTTTATCTGTATCTTACTCAATGTCTGTCATTTTATTTGGTACATTATTTGCCACATTAAATGAAGTCAGAAGGGACTTGGAAGATGTTCAAAAGGTGAAAAATTGGTTAGTCTCAGTTGTACTTTTAATTATGCTTATAAATTGATACAACTTATGCCATTAGAGAGGTTTTATTAACTTGTGCAGATTTTGAACTACAGTTTCAGTGACAGAATTTGGTAATTAGTGAGTTACAGACTTTCATTAAGGTATTTCTGGAAAATGCTGTCAGAGTTCGGAAGAGGGAAGACACAAAGAGGGCAAACTGAGAATATGGTTAGTTTTATAGAGAGACTTAGGCCCTATGACAGTCAATAAAACTTGCATTTATGCTAATAGTTAGCTGTGTGCTGAAGTTCTGAGTTGTGTGAAAGATTGTTTGTGTAATAAATGTTTAAACCAGTAGCAAATAAACCTACAACTATCACAAGAAAAAAGGTAATCAAGAGTGAAATTCTCCAACCCACACAAGGTACTTTGCAGAATCACTGGCAGGGAAAATACACTGTATATTTTTATATCTTTGGCTGAGTGAGGTCTTGGATATCTGAGACAGCATGTCCAGTATGTCTACACAGCAGACTTAAGCACATTATAGCTAAGTGGTTGCAGTTACAGTGCAGCCATAGCAAAATGCAATTCAGCATGAGATTTGCTAAGTCCTATATTCACTAAGCTACTGACACCAGAGAGGCTTTTTAAATCCTGCTTTGGTATCTCTTTCTAACATTGACATTGACAGTGCAGTCAGACTTTAAGTTATAGCTACCTTTCTAATCCTGTCTTTGGCTACTGTTGCTCAAAATAACTGCATGCTACTTGCACTGAACAAACTCTTCCCCATCCACAGCCATGGATTCGATGGTTGTACCTTATCACATCAGCCTTATTAGCTGGAGTGTAGTGACCAACAGAGCAGCAGAGATGTCATCTTAAAATCAATTTCCATCACAAAAGTTCCAGTATTACCAATCACAAATTTCTGTACCATGGTTTCAAGAACTTTCTCTTTTGCAACAGATTTCTACTCTATCATTAACCAAATCAGAACAGATGTATTTCAGCTTAAACTAGATAGAGGTATGCAAAACAAATACAGACAGTTGGCTAAAGCTGTTTTGTACTTTCAAAGGAATATGAAAAACATTCAATTTTCCTTTTACTTCTAAGGAAGTTGTATGAAGGAAGACACCAAGGTTATGTTTTTCCTTCTATGGGAAACTGAACACCTAGCTGGGAGGTTTAAGTGATCTTTTGTTGAGCTTATGATAGAAGTGGATATATGGATTAAGAGTTTGGCAAAACTGCTCTGAATTGAAGCATATTCACTTTGAAACCAGGATTGCACACATACTCAAAATAATCTGAACATATGTGGGAAAAATCCTTTGATTTTTAGAATCCTTAGAATAATAGGATAAAAAAGGCAAATTGAACTCATGGGTAAGATCTATGGGTGGTTCTGGAGTTTGCATGCCTTTGTCTGAAACTGTAGCAAAGAAAGATTCATAAATAACTTTACAGCCATCTTCTACCATCTCTGCAGTGCTTATGTGTTGGCAAAGATATGTTTTAATACGCAGTCGTTTGCTTAGAAGGCGTGTGGACTTCTGACTTCTGAGACATCTGTGAGTGCCTGGAGAAACCAATTCAGGCAAATTCTCCATGGGTCTTAAAAGATTTTTCAGCACTTAATGGAGATCAAAACTACTTCTGGTACTGTTTGAAAGCACCATTCCAAGGTCAAGGGAGAGCTGGCGGTACACCTCTTTCTATCATGACACGGTAGAGCACTGCCTCCTTCCTTCTCTTGCTTTTAAGCAGCAGTGGAGATAAGTAACCCTGTCTGTCACAGGTTATTTCAATTTTCCTTTATTCATACAATATATCAACAAAGTACAATTCTGCTACTCAAGACTAGCAGACATAAGAAAACAGCCTAAAGAAAAAAGATAAAGGAAGCTTCTTCTTATTGTACATATATACACACAGCTGGGCTGGTGAAAAAGGGTCTGCAGTTTCTTCTATTGATTCAAGCTATTCCATAAACATCTGGCATGCAGTGTCTCATTCCATCTGCCTGTTGAAGGGCAGAAAAATTGCTATTGAAAATAATAAGAAATAACAGAAAAACAAACAAAAAATATATATATATATAAAACAACTCTGACAAGATGAAAAGAAATATACCAGAGACTTTGTCATTTAAGTAA